AAACCAGGTCTAAAACCAGGAAACTAAACCAGGTCTAAACCAGGTCTAAACCAGGGTCTAAACCAGGTCTAAAACCAGGTCTAAACCAGGTCTAAACCAGACTAAACCAGGACTAAACCAGTCTAAACCAGGACTAAACCAGGACTAAACCAGGTCTAAACCAGGTCTAAACCAGGACTAAACCAGGTCTAAACCAGGACTAAACCAGGTCTAAAACCAGGACTAAACCAGGACTAAACCAGGACTAAACCAGGACTAAACCAGGTCTAAACCAGGACTAAACCAGGACTAAACCAGGTCTAAAACCAGGTCTAAACCAGGACTAAACCAGGACTAAACCAGGACTAAACCAGGACTAAACCAGGTAAACCAGGACTAAAACCAGGACTAAACCAGGTCTAAACCAGGTCTAAACCAGGACTAAACCAGACTAAACCAGGTCTAAAACCAGTCTAAACCCAGGACTAAACCAGGACTAAACCAGGACTAAACCAGGACTAAACCAGGTCTAAACCAGGACTAAACCAGGTCTAAAGCAGAACTGAACCAGGACTGAAAAAGGACTAAACCAAGACTAAAACAGATCTAAACCATGTGTAAAACAGGACTAAACCAGAACTGAACCAGGACTGAGTGTCGGGACTCGGTCTCTGTCTCTCGAGCCCAAGATTAGTCCTGGTTTATTTATTTTATGCTGAATATATTTATGCACACGCAGATTTTTGAAAGTTTCGTTTTGAGCCACTGTCAAACTCCCACGAGTCTGAACGCGACGTGAAGAGAAACAAAGTGAGAGAAAGAGAAAAAATGATTCCCAATAAGGATCAGGCTCCTGTCGTTCGCTTCAAAGAGCCGGATCTAAGAGCCGCTTTGTTCGTGACGACCATCACTACTAGCTAGAAAAGAAACTACCGCTGTTAGCCTTTAGCTGTAAATGCTGCGCCGCGGGAATTAATGATATGTGTAAATGTTGATCATTCACACCTCTGTTCACAGCTCATTTACATCAGTGCAGCTCCAGGAACAAATATACAGACAATATATTCACTTTACAACAGACCAATAGAAAACAGACTGAGACACAACAGATCATCACTAACCAATCAGAACGAACGATATTATCAACACAGGCTCCTCCCACATCACAAGTCTGAACTAATAAATGTCCTTTTAATCCAGACTCAAACCGACTGTTCGTAAAAAGAAAATAATCTCAGTGTTTGGATCTGTGTGTGTGAGTGTAAACAAACTATATAAAAATAATATCGGCCAACCGATATATCGGTCGGGCTGTAGTCAGTACCTCACATTTCTCTCCTGCTCTCGCCGTCTGCACCGGCCGCGCTCCTCCGTTCGTCTCCTCTGTTTCTTCGTTTCGTTCGTCCGCACCTGTCTGCTCCTCCGACTCCGCACCTGTCTGCTCCTCCGGCTCCGCACCTGTCTGCTCCTCCGACAGGGACACCACCACGGGCTCCCTCTCCCCAGACACCTCCACCCTGACCCCGCGCTGGGCCAGCACCTCTCGGGCGAACTCCGTGATCACGGCGCACCTGAGGACACAACCACAACTCTGAGCGCCGCGTTAAAGAGGCACTGTGGAACTTTCCCAGCGAACAGACTCGGCTGTCTGCTCGTCTCCGTGGTGATGTTACTGCTGTGCCAGGAATGTCCCACAGTACAGCATTAGACGTACAGTTTATCTCTCCACGGAGGCTGAATCCTGCACAGAGTCGTCACGATACTAAAACGTCAAACTCGATTTTGATACGAAGGAATTGATCGATACTCGATACCGATTCTGATCCCACAATGAGGATAAAAAAAACACTTTCTTTAGACAATAAACTGTGGTCTAAAACAGGTCAAACCAGGACTAAACCAGGATTAAACCAAGTCTAAACCAGGTCTAAACCAGGCTCTGGTCCCGCTCTGGTCCCGGTCTGAGTCCCGGTCTGAGTCCCGGTCTGGTCCTGGACCTGGATCAGTCCTGGTTCAGTCCGACATCACAGTCACTGAAGTCACGTAAACGGGAAACGGTCGTTATCTGTTTTTTTTCCATTTTTCATTTAAACACAAAATCGAAAAATGAAAAAACGAATCATTATCCATTTTTTCATTTTGGTTTTGGAGACAAATAATGAAGAAAACTGTTGTTTTTTCATTTTCTTATTTTTGGTTTTATATTGAAAAACAAACGAACGACACACAGATTCTCAAACTCTCGTCTGTTTGAATATTTCAGCTGTGAGTCTCTGTGGAGCTGAACCAGAAAACTGGACAAACCTTTGGACCAAAATAAATGAAAACACAGAGACACGGAGGAACACGAGTATCGAATCCTGACACCAGTATCAAACGATTCAATATCATATCGATACCAGTGAAACATGAGGATGTAGTTTCGATATTAGTTTTAGTATCTTGTGTCTTATTTTCGTTATTTCCGACAGCCCTGGGATAAAATGAACCAAAAATGACAAAGATATTAACCCAAAAACCAGGTCCAAATACGTTCTAACTGCCCGCGGTGTCGCCTCTCCGCAGATCTGACCTGTCACGCCACAGAACAGCGGGGCCACTCACGTCAGGTCTCGGTTGAATTCCTGGACCGGGTTGTAGAAGACCTCGTTGGCGCTGGGGAAGAGGATGGACGCTTTGCCCTCGCGCACCACCGTCTCCCCGGGGAGCAGCAGCCCGGGGTCCTGGGGGGGTCCCGCCGCGGTCCGGTCCACGGGGGGAGGAGGAGGAGCGGCCTGGGGGGGTCCCGCCGCGGTCCGGTCCACGGGGGGAGGAGGAGGAGCGGCCTGGGGGGTCCGCCGCGGTCCGGTCCACGGGGGGAGGAGGAGGAGAAGGGGAGGGGTCCATGGTTTTTAAAGTCCGACAGAGGATCCGCAGTGATCCGGAGCGAGAGGAGGAGAGGAGCGGGAGGAGAGCAGCGACCCTCAGCAGCATCCAGACAAAAAACTGAGGAGAGAAAATGAGAGAAAACGATACAGACCTGGTTTAGTTCTGGTCTAGTACCTGGTCTAGTCCCGGTTTAATAACAGTTTAGTCCCGGTTAAGTCCCGATCTAGTCCCAGTTTAATAACAGTTAAATCCTGGTTTATTCCCGGTTTAGACCTGGTCTAGTACCTGGTCTAGTCCCAGTTTAATAACAGTTAAATCCTGGTTTATTCCCGGTTTAGTCCTGGTTTAGTATCTGGTCTAGTACCTAGTCTAGTATCAGTTTAGTACATGGTTTAGTCCCAGTTTAGTACATGGTTTAGTCCCGGCCTAGTCCAGGTCTAGTCCTGGTTTAGACCCGGTTTAGTCCTGGTTTAGTCCAGATTTAGTCCTGGTTTAGTACCTGGTCTAGTCCCAGTTTAATCCCGGTCTAGTCCTGGTTTAGTATCTGGTCTAGTACCTAGTCTAGTACCAGTTTAGTACCTGGTTTAGTACCTGGTTTAGTCTTGGTCTAGTCTTGGTCTAGTCCTGCTTTAGTCCTGGTTCAGTCCTGGTTCAGTCCTGGTTCAGTCCTGGTTCAGTCCCGGTTTAGACCTGGTCTAGTACCTGGTCTAGTACCTGGTCTAGTCCCAGTTTAATCCCGGTCTAGTCCTGGTTTAGTATCTGGTCTAGTACCTAGGCTAGTATCAGTTTAGTACCTGGTCTAGTCCTGGTCTAGTCCTGGTCTAGTCCTGGTCCAGTCCTGGTTCAGTCCTGGTTCAGTCCTGGTTCAGTCCCGTTTTAGTCCCGTTTAGTCCCGGTTTAGTCCCGGTTCAGTCCCGGTTTAGTCCCGGTTCAGTCCCGGTTTAGTTCTGGCTCTGTCCTGGTTCAGTCCTGGTTTAGTTCTGGTTCTGTCCTGGTTTAGACCTGGTTCAGTCCTGGTTTAGTCCTGGTTCAGTCCTGGTTTAGACCTGGTTTAGACCTGGTTTAGTCCTGGTTTAGTCCTGGTTTAGTCCTGGTTCAGTCCTGGTTCAGTCCTGGTTTAGTCCCTGGTCAGTCCTGGTTTAGTCCTGGTTTAGTCCTGGTTCAGTCCTGGTTTAGTCCTGGTTTAGACCTGGTTTAGTCCTGGTTTAGTCCTGGTTTAGTCCTGGTTTAGTCTGGTTTAGTCCTGGTTAGTCAGTTAGTCCTGGTTCAGTCCTGGGTTTTCAGTCCTGGTTTAGTCCTGGTTTAGTCCTGGTTCAGTCCTGGTTTCAAGTCCTGGTTCAGTCCTGGTTCAGTCCTGGTTTCAGTCCTGGTTTTGGTTCCTGGTTTAGTCCTGGTCCTTTAGTCCTGGTTTAGTCCTGGTTCAGTCCTGGTTTAGTCCTGGTTTAGTCCTGGTTTAGTCCTGGTTTTTTCAGTCCTGGTTCAGTCCTGGTTCAGTCCTGGTTCAGTCCTGGTTCAGTCCTGGTTCAGTCTGGTTTAGTCCTGGTTCAGTCCCTGGTTCAGTCCTGGTTTAGTCCTGGTTCCAGTCCTGGTTCAGTCCTGGTTCAGTCCTGGGTTTAGTCCTGGTTTAGTCCTGGTTTAGTCCTGGTTCAGTCCTGGGTCAGTCCTGGTTCAGTCCTGGTTCAGTCTGGTCCTGGTTCAGTCCTGGTTCAGTCCTGGTTCAGTCCTGGTTCAGTCCTGGTTCAGTCTGGTTTTGTTCTGGTTTCAGTCCTGGTTTCAGTCCTGGTTCAGTCCTGGTTCAGTCCTGGTTTAGTCTGGTTTAGTTCCTGGTTTAGTCCTGGTTTAGTCCTGGTTCAGTCCTGGTTTTCTCTCTGACTTCAGTCTCGGGTCTGAATCGGTGTCGTTGTCGTTCGTTGTTAAAGTTCCCGGAAAAACAACGAAAGGACGAGAACAGAACATTTGGAAATAATTAATAATACAATAAATATCAGTTTTAAAAGCAAAAAAGCGTCCGATCTCCAAAATATCACAATAAATATCAAACAGAGACATTTGGATATCGTTAAATCCATAAAAGTAAATAAACCAAGTGAAATAATTTGAACAGAATGATATTTTTTCTACATATTCTTGTGTGTGTGATGTTCTCCTGCAGGATGAAGAGGCTTGTTGTTCTGTTCTGAAGAAGAAAAGCACATGGAGAGTTTTGTTTATGTCTGTACTAATGTTCACTGTGATTCTGTCCTGGTCCATTAGCAGATTATAGAATAACAGGTGCTTCAACTGTAACAGAATAAAAAGGTGCTTCAGATATTCTTAAACCTGCACGACGCACGGGAGGAGATCATCATCATCATCATCATCATCATCGTCGTATAATCACGAGCAGAGACCAGAACAGAACAGAGCGTCTCTGTCCCTGTGCACTCTGAGTCTGATTCTGTTTAAGACGATACAGAACTATGGAAAACTAAAACTGTTCTTGTATTTTTTTACTTTAACAGGGTGTCCCCAGGTCTGACTTCTCCAAATCTACTCCACATCACAAGTCTGAACTAATAAAAGTCCTTTTAATCCAGACTCAATCCGATTGTCCGTAAAAAGAAAATAATCTCAGTGTTGCGCACGGCTGCGGGTGTAAACAAACACACGCGAGTGAAGTGACGTGACTCTGTGGTGTGTTCAGGGACAGTACGAACACAGACAAATGACTCCACAGATAAATACTGATGCAGAGTCACATATTAGGACATTTATCTGTCTGTAAATTGGATTAAATGAACAGAATGTCAAGAGTCTAAGATTTATAACGACGTATAACCTGCCCACGGGAAATATCGGTCGATAGCCGATATGCCTCCAGGTGCCCATATCGGCCAGCCGATATATCGGTCAGGCTCTACTCAAAATATTCTGAAAAAATGACCAGCTGGTCCCGGACTCATGTACCCAACCCTGTGAAGATTTAGTCATTTTCGATCAATTCTTTTGAAGTTACAGCTGCGTTGTTGTTTTTTTAATGTTTTCTGCAAGCTTTTTTAAATGTGTTGCGTGCTGTTTTTAATGTGTGTGTTTGTGGCTTTTTAATGTGTTGCGGCTTTTTAATGTGTTGCTTTTTAATGTGTTGCGGCTTTTTAATGTGTTGTGGCTTTTTAATGTGTTGTGGCGGCTTTTTAATGTGTTGTGTTGTTGCGGCTTTTTAATGTGTTGCGGCTTTTTAATGTGTTGTGGCTTTTTTTAATGTGTTTGTGGCTTTTTAATGTGTTGCGGCTTTTTAATGTGTTGCGGCTTTTTAATGTGTTGCGGCGTTTGCATTAAAATAAGAGTCCTGCTGTCATTTCCATTGTGGCTTTTTTTGTTTTTTTTGTGGCTTTTTGTTGTGTTGTGGCATTTGTATTTGTTGTTTTTATTTATTTAAAAGAAAACATTTAAGACAATGAGCTTCAGTGTCTGGACAATGGTCCCTGATTTAAGTAAGTTTTTCAAGAAAAATATGTATTAAAATGATATTAGTTTAACTGAATCTTATAAAGATTTACATTAACACAAAATATAAATATAAATATAAAATATAAGATAATATAAATATAAAGATAGTGCATCGTTATAAGACCTTGTGAATATATCTTATCTTATTTCATTCTTTCTTTCTTTAGAATCATGTGTGTGGTATTTAGAAATAAGTATTTAAAAGAAGAAGGCGGCGCTGTAACAAGAACTACATCTGGACTCTACACACAAACTGCTTCAGTGTTGACATTTAAGTAATTAAAATAATTGAAGTAATTAAAATTGTACTTTGAAGTACTTTTAGTACCATGACCAAGGTCATTAAACGAATGGACGACATAGAAATTACATGAACAAGTGTTTCTCAGCATTAACATGTCCATGGTAAAAGCACCTGAAGGACCCTCCACCTGAAAACAAACATAATGCACTTGGTTTATGTACTTGGATTATTATTATTATTTATTATTAATATTATTATATATGGTCCAGGTCAAGCAGAAGTAAACAACAAGACCAAAACTTCAAGTGAATTCATCTGATATAAAAGTGTATTGAACAGATACATATGTACTCGAGTTTATCAAACTGTTGACCTTTTTTCTGTTCCATTTTTGGTTCTAAACTTTCATCTGTTTTAAACAGACCATGAATGAAACATGGAACAAAAATTATTTCCCAAATTTCAAAGACCCAAAAATCATGTAAATAAATGGTTTGTATTTCATCATATCTTGTGTTATTCCATTTAAAATAATATGATATTATTATTTAAAATAATAAAAATGTTCTTGGAAGGACTGACATATTTTATAGAAATAGTTTCCTTTCATTTTGAAGTAATATTAAAGTATTTGGAAGAAAAAAGTGACAATGATGTAAAATCCTGCACCTTCTACTTGTTTGTACAATTTTCCCTCCGTTACTTTTCCCTCCGTTACCATGAACTTTCTTAATAAAAAATCTCATGAGTCAAAAAGTCAGAGGTTTTTCAACCTAATCTTGTACCATATGGTAGAAAACTATATGAAGCAAATATTCAAACCAGTTTGTTAAGGATATGTAAGTGAGAACCAAGAGTTATCACTGTTTGGATTTATTGACCAAAAAGTGCTGCATATTTCATTCCCTCCGTTACCATGACATGAGTTTTTACATTTTTTGTCTTGAACTTGAAAGAATCTCACAGGTTTAACTTGACCCTGTTGGAGTGTAACTCTTTTCCTACATTCTGATGATACTTTACTTATTTCAATAGTTCCTCTAGTTTTTCTGAATAAGAGACATTTAGAAGTCAAAAAATCTGTACCCTAGTTTTCCCTCCGAGTTTACCCACTTAGAGTCCTGGACCTAGTTTAGTCCACCTGGTTTATTACCTGGTTTTAGTTTATAGTTTATATATTATATATATATATATATATATATAGTTTATGGTCTAGTTTAGTCCTGGTTAGTCCCAGTCTAGTTTAGTCCTGGTTTAGTCCTGGTTTAG